AATAATTTAGTAGTGGTTAATATTTATATGAAAAAAAATATTTTATAGAGAAAATTAATTTCCGCTTGTGGTATAAAATTAGCGGAATCTAAAAAAGATTATTGAAAATTTATTATATTTTTACCAACAAAATACTCTATATATTCGGTTTCTTTAAGCAGTTTTATATTTTGGGTGTAAATTCTACTAAATATAAACTTAATTAGAACGATCAATCAAATTTACATCGTTCTGCTGAAGAAGGACTTTTACAAGTCTTAACTCAATCCCTCTCTAATGAGATGAAGTATAGAAGAAGTTTAATCAATCCACCTAGGAGCTAGAATAAAAGAGATTCAAGGCACTAACTAAGCTTAACCATATATGATGAAGAAAGATGATTCTAACAACCTAAGTGATCAAAGATGAAATACAAAAGTGAAAAGCAATACTAACAAGACTAAAACAAGTAATGTAATGCAAGAACGCTAAATGCAACAGAAATTAAAGAAAGCAAGAGCCAAATATAAATGCAAGATGAGAGAATGAAAGATAAGTGCAATAACTTAAAGTGCAAAGCAAGAAATGGATAAAAGCAAGGCAACTAAAAACATAGAAAAACTGAACACAATATGACGAAAAGCAAAGAACAAGATGGTGCAGTCAAGGCTAGAGCAATGATGACTTGGGGATTCTTTAGTATCAAACCTAGGGTAGTCAAGACTAATAACAAGCAAGATTCATAATCAAGCCACTAATTCAATCAATTCGCAATCAGAGCAAATATATCTATGTAATGCACATGTCAGACCCATTTGTGATGGCGTATTTGTACAAAACCAGCATGTTAACACAAGGCTCTTAAAGACTAAACAATGTACTAAGATGCAATATAATCATCTAAGAAATTATCCCAAGCATATTTCTTTCAGGAATTTAAACAAACATTTGTGATGCTGCAAACACCTATAATTTATTTCACTTAAACAAGCTACTCGAGCCTTAAGAACAACTAAGCAAGGTAAATCAAGCAAGGATTAAATCAAAACTCCCTAAGGTATCAACTAATCATCCCCAAATATGCTCCAACCTCAAACCATATGAAAATACTCACAACATATATCAAATCAACAGAGACAAGAAGGAATGACAAATCAAACATGATTAAACAAGAACTAGAAAGAAAATAACAAAAGAAGTGCAAAACTTTATTAAAAAGGTGATCTAGATCAAAATACCATAAAAATCTCTTTGTGGTTTCCCACAAGGTCGAAAATAGGGTCAAGATGAAGATAATATGACAAAAAGATAAGCCAAAAGCTTAAATAAGTGAAAGGATAAGGTTTGGTCAAAAGTGGAAAAAGTTGGTCAACTCTCGGATAAAGCATATGGGGGTGTACAGTAGATGTTTTGCTCGATGAAGTTGATCGATTCAGTATGTCCCTGTTGCTTCAGACAGCTTTGGTCGGTTCAGCACGCATCAAGGAGTTTTGCCTGATGTTTTGGTCGATGCGCTTCCCCGGTATAGCAGGCTGGTGACCACTGCGTAGCTGAAATCGCTCTTTCTCTTTAACCCTAGATCCAAATGACATGCTTCGACCACCATTGGAAAGATATTCAGATCCTCTACAACTTTTATGAAGAATGTGGAGCCTGAATATGAGTGGAGAGGCATCATACGGACCGATCTTTAACTCACATCCTTTTGAACCAAGCAAAGACCTCGATGTGTGACCTCAGTGCAGCTTCTAAACAGATTGGCTTCATTCTTATTGCATATTTCTTTGACTCCATATGATCCTCCATCCTCCAATAAGTCTCCTTAGCCCACAAAACACCTGAAATACACCTTAAACATGCAAATGCATGCATTCCTAATCTAAATGCATGCATGGCTACTTTTATATGTAAATGGGACTGAAATGAAAAGAAATAATGCAAGAACAAGAGAAAACATGCATGAAATGCAGCCTAAAATTCTATAATATAGCAAGCTATTAACACTCTCACACTTAGTCTTTGCTTGCCCTCAAGCAAATAATAGATTAAACATGGTGATGAGGTTTTAAAATGGGAACTTATATCATTAAAATGCTAACAATAGATAAAAATGATGTCCATGTTTTTCTAGTGCTATAATGCAAATGATGGAACTGTACTCTAAAACTTAGCCACACTCATCACAAAATGAAAATGATTCTCAAGTTATCAATCTACACAAGCCCTCAAATCACTTGACCTTTTTAACATTCAATTAGCAAGTAACCAATGGATCAAGTTTGTGCAAATCAAGTGAAAGCATTTGGTTCAAGGGACATGGTTATGAGATAAAAAGTGATCTCATTCATCAATGGCTCAAAGAAACAAGGGATCTCTCATATGAAATGAATCTATCTTAGGCAAAATGCTAAAGGTAAAAGCAAACTTATGCATGCAAGTCAAAGCTCTCTTCTACCATTTTCCAAAGATGATCCTAATTAAGTCTAAGTCCCAAGATAAACCCCGAAATCTACTCTTTCCCAAAGCTCTTTTGATCTTTTTCTCCTTGAAATGTGGGGGACTTTTTCTTCTTTTGCTTGTGTGGCTGACTTCTTTTCGAAGTTGCTCTTCTTTGTTGTATATACGCCAATTTTCATCACCTTTTTGGTGGATTGCTTAGCCTGATTTTTCTCTTTTTGGATCATCCTTTTAATCTTGTTGTTTCTGGCACCTTTTCTTCTTTGTAACTTAGAGCTTTCTTCTTTTTCACTTAGCCACAAGATACAATCATCTTCCCACAATATCATTTTATTCATGAAACCATTCCCACTCTTCTTTTCTTCTCAAAAGATACAAACATTTAAAGCTTAAACCACTTAACTCTGCCCTTTCCCAAAACTCATATCCTAGTATCAAGCTCAAAAGGCAAGCTGATGTCTACAAGAGAGCTTTTCCTTGCCAGCTTTATTCCTAACACTTTTTGCCAAGATAAGTTCGAAAATGAAAATGCAGAGCCTTACAAACTCTCACAATAGTGTTTGGGTTTAGAAGGAAGGATTGATTCAAGGTATAATTCACTGTCCCTTAATGATGAGGATCAGCTACTTGGATCAAGAAGAGTGGTGAAAAGGAAGAAGATGATCCAAATATGTATACTGGTAGCCATGCAATCACTTTCAATGCACAAACAAGATAATTCAAAGTCCAAATTAAGGTTCCACTTATGTAAATGTCAAGTTCAAATCAAGCAAGCTTCAACTGCAAACAACAGTTTCAGAATCATAAATTCAAAGAGTGGTTCAGCCTTATTTCAAGTGCTTCATCAAATGCATCAGAGGACTAAGAACAAATGCATCATTTTCATAAAGCACTAGCATTTTCAAAGATTCACTATCATTGCACCTATTTTAAACAAGCAAGCTACAACCTAAGTGAATGCATGAAGTCTAAGTCCTATATGAATGCACATGAACACTCTGTTTTTAAGAAATCAATTTTTGAAAATTTTCAATTTTTTATGGATTTTCTATGATTTAAGTGCAATGCATGGTTGCTTAGCTATATGTAAATGCAAATGTGATATGGATGCAGAATGTTAGACCAAGCAAGCCCTCCCCCACACACAGTCCACTGTGTATTATAAATGCAAAAGGAGGCAAACCACATTAAAAAATGAAGTGTAAAGGAGAAGGTGTAAAGAGTAAAAGAAGGGGAAGGTGTGTACATGCATTGGAGGTTGGAGGGGTGGAGGATTGACATTCTTAACAGCGTAGAAGGCCAGTGGAGACCATGGGGAAGTGACATCCCTTCAATCCTGGTGTTTTGAATGCATTTTTCTGTATCGAGCTGGGCCTTTGATGTTCTGCTCGATGTGCTCCACGATATGATCACCTTGCTGTATACCGGCTTACTGTAATCACCGTATCTTTCTAACCAGGGTCAGAATTACTTGAAACTTCCACCATTCTAAATCTTACTCTATCCTCTACATCTTTGGTGAAGAACTTGGAGACTGAATTGAATCGGAAAGCCTCCGTTCGGGTCGACCAATCGGATGATCAAAATCTGTCCTGCATCTGTCTGGGCCTTGGGTGTTCTGCCCGATGTGGTCAGCTCGATATCGAGCTGGGTTCTTGGTGTTCTGCTCGATGTGGCACCTCGATGTGATCTCCATCGTACAATCTGCTCGACGTACGGACTGTTTCTTCCCCGAGATAAACTGCATCGAGCAGGTCTTGCAGAGGTTTTACTCGATATGTCATCCCGATGCAGAAACAGAGCTTTAGTTTTCTTGGATTTTTCACATTGTTTGACCAACCTAACTACTTTTTCCACCTTGAAAACATTTAACAAACATATCAAAGGCAAAAGGAAAGCATATTTACATAGATAGTCGTGGGATTACCTCCCAAGTGTGTTTTCTTTGATGCAAATAAAATCAAATCTAATTCATGAATTGAAAATGTCAAAGTAGAAAAACTGTTCAAGTATGCAAAGAATATGATTCTGAAAAAAAAAGAAAAACCAGTAGCTAAACTAATCCAAATCATCTGAATCACCCATATCATATACATCTATACGCTGAACATGAACAGCGATATTCCATTTTACCTCACAAGGATCTTCTTCACAATATACCATTTTTGCTTCAGACGCTAATATATATAGCTCAGCTTCCTCATTATTGCCAGAGGACAACAACCCTATGATGGCCATATGCATCCTTCTTATATCCTCTGTCCATACGGGTGTCAACCCACTTGCACTTGAATAATACAACTTTGAAAACCTCATAACAGTTTAACTCTATAACTTCAACCAGATTTTCATAGTAAGCTACAGTTCCTGCTCTTAGGTTAGGATCACAAGAACTAGTATAACTCATAGTCTCAGCAGCCACATAAACACTATGATTTTGAGTTTTCAGGTCAGCGTCTCTTTCTTTTATCCAAACCATTGACATTGTAAGCTGTATACTTCATAGCCTTATCAGATGGATCCAAAGCTAAGCATCGTAAATCATCAGTTATCCCATCAAACTCATTCTTCTCTACTTGCTGTTTGATCCATTTTGCAAAATTAAGATGCATTTCACGGCCAATGTCGATAGCACGATTCCTCTTGCTCTGATGAGATGGTTTCATCCACAACTCGTTTTTATACTTCCTAGACAAACAATAATTATGAGAACTTCTATATATATATATATATATATATATATATATATATTAAAGAACTTCAATCAAACATAATTAAAATGAGTCATTCTTGAATAAGGAAAACTTACTCTCGTAAATGATCAAGTACTCGACAATTGATCAATATATGTTGATGTCCTTGATTCCTCTCTACATGATTAAGAGTATAAACTTGACCTGCTCCAACAAATCTTCCAAGGTTTGGAAAAATAAGTGGAAGTTCTGAATTTGGTCTTATAGTAGTCGCATCTAGAGGTCGATCATCAACGCGGCCAATCTGAGTAAATCGTGTCTCTATATCTTTGAGATACATTGAGCAAAATGTTACACACTCATCAACTAAATATTGCTCACATACAGAACCTTCAGGCTTAGCGCGATTCCGAACATATGATTGGAAGTGTCCTAGAGTCTTGTAGATAATTGAATTAAGTAAGATTATATAAACATAAAATGAAAATAAATTAAATTAAATTAAAATACCTCTCTATCGGATACATCCAACAAAAGAGAAGTGGTCCATCAAATTTTGCCTCTTCTATGAGATGTACTATTAGATGTACCATCACTGTGAAAAATTTTAGGGGAATTAACATCTCTAGACAACACAAAGTCACTACAATACGGTTTTGTAGTTTATCAAGCTCATTGATATCAAGGACCTCTGCAGATATATCTCTAAAAAACTGACAAACCTCAACAATGGCTGATGTCACATCTGTTGGCAGCAGATTTTGAATTGCGATTGAAAATAAATATCTCATTATCACTTGGCAGTCGTGGCTTTCTAATCCTTATAGCTTTTGATTTTTAACAAGACAATTTGATAAGCTAGAAGCATAACCATCAGGGAGTTTGACATTTTTTAAGATACTTAAAAAAGTGTCTTTCCCACCATTGTTCAGAGTAAAACATGCTACTTGATACTTCTCATTATCATCACGCCACAGCTCAGACCATATACCTAGCTCACAGAGATCTTTTCTAGTACTTAGATTATCTTTCGATTTTGTTTTATCATCCAATAATGTGAAAACTAGATTGTCAAAACACATTCTTCTCTATATGCATGACACCATATTATGCTGCAGCATAATAGATTTCCAATAAGGCAACTAAAAAATATACTTTTTTTTCTTCCATTCTAGAGTACCAGATCTTCCAACATTACTTTGAACTCTCTTTCTTCCAACTCCGACTAAATCATGCATCTTACCAAGGGTAACATTAACTTGTTCTAACTGATGAATAATTGCAGAACCTAACAACATGACTGGTGGAGATCTGGCCTCTATCTTTCCATCAAAATTAGTTCTATATTAACGAAAGCTATGTTCTTGAGGAAGAAAACGACGATTACCCACAAAATATTTTTTTTTCCATGGAGTAAACGTTGTCCAATGCTACCATAATTGTAGCTTGGACAAACTGATGTTGTATAAGTATTCCATCCCGACAAATTTTCAAGACAAGGGAAATCACTAACTGTCCACATGATGGCTGCTCGCATGTCAAATGTTTCTTTTGTAGAAGCATCTAACGTTCTTATCCTATCAGACCATAATTCCTTCAACTCCTTGATAAGTGGCTACAAGTAGACTTCAATATCATTATCAGGCATGGTGTGCTTTGCAGGGATAACAATAGAGAGGAACATTGATGTCTGTTTCATTGACATCCATGGTGCAAAATTATAAAAAAATAGTATCACTGACCATATGTTGTAACTACTACTCATTGTACCAAATGGATTAAAACCGTCAATCGCCAAGCCTCGTCTGGCATTTCTTGGATCAGATGCGTATTCTGGATATTTTTGATCAAATGCCTTCCAAGCCTCTCCATCTCTTGGATGTTGAAGTTTACCATCATTGTTACTAGCAGTTGCATGCCATCTCATGTGGGTAGCAGTTTTCGATGACATGAATAAACGTTGCAGTCATGGCTTTAAGGGAAAATAACACAAAACCTTTGCATGAGCTTTTTTTTTCCTATTCTCTGATCCAGATATTTTACTCTTTGCAGAAATATTTTCTTTCCAACGAGAGACTTCACAAACTTTGCAAATTTCCCTTCCCTAATCTGCTTCCCAATATAACATGAAATCATTTGGACATGCATGGATTGACTCATAAGTCAATCCTAATTTTCAAATAACCTTTTCATATCATTAAATGAATCTGGCAATTTGGCATGTGTAAATGCTTCTTTTAGAAAATCAAGCACCATAGATATCCCCTTGTCACTAATCCCACACATACATTTGATATGATACAACTTCAGTATGAAGGATAACTTCGTGAACTTTGTGCATCCAGTGTATAGCTCTTGATTAAAATCAGCAAGGAACTCATCAAAATTTTCTCCTTTTCCAAAATTTCCACTAGAAGTTGATGGTATGTCAGTGTCCACATTTTGCTCAGACGATCCAAGTCCATCTCCACCATATACTCGTATTAATATCATGAAAAAATCATCCAAGAGATTTGAAGTTGAATCTAATTCCACTTGAGCAGTATCAGAAGGCACGCTTACATTTTCTGCAGCACCTATACTCTCTCCGTGTAGTACCCAATTTGTGTAAAAATTCAAAAAGTCAAAACACATCAAATCACATTCGATATCTTCTCTTGGCTTGGATTTGAATAGAAAACAACGATTACATGGACATTTGATTGTATCTACATTTGATTTACCGAATGCAAGATCCAAGAAATTTGTCATCCCTAACTTGTAATTTTGAGATAAACGTGGTTTGTTCATCCATGACTTATCCATCCAAACCTGAAAAATTGATTTGATTTCCCAAAAAGACATTAAATTTCAACACATACAAGTTCAAATCAATAGAGTAAAAAAGAGAATCATAGAAACCAGTAAGTATATGTTCACGTTTTCTAAAAGCTCTAGAATCCAGAAATCAATTTGATTAATTGATTATGATCTCGTTTACAAAACCCAGAAAAACATATGTTGAAAAAAAAAGAGGGGGAGAATCAAATTACCTTGCACTAGAAACGAAAGTGTTGTGATTTCTATACTCGATCTTCAAATTTAATTTGTTTCACCAAATTTAAAGCTATAAATTCATTTGAAGCTTTACGTAAGGAAGAAGACGGAGGAAGATAGGAGGAAGATATCATAGATGAGAGATATATACGACATATACATGTTTTTAATATTTATATATTATTTTTTGTGATCCATTTCATTAAAGTCCAAAGGGCATGAAACCCATAAAGGGTACAGCAGATTACATCTCTTACAAAACTAAATAGAACATGGCTTGAACATGTGCTTACACGTTGAGTAATTTAACAATCGAAGCTAAAAACACGTGTAGCTTGGAGATGGAAATTTGCAGCACCGTTACTTTCACCGGAATCTTCATCCATCCTGGCGTTTGCATCTGAGGAAACTCTTCACAATGCTGCTTTGATTGACTCTGCTCAGTCCTTCTGCATGTATGAACCATTAAAAGACGATGATAACTTTTAGCACCATTAGTAGATTTGTCAAGAATTCGTTGGAGGGTTAGAAGCAGAATATTTTCTGGACCGTTTGTTAAAAAAAATGCCAGATCTACTAACTATGCACCATAACCATCCAATTGACTCCCCAATAACTCGATTTACATCGTCAAAGAAACCTTTGCTTCGCATAATTGGCTTAAAAGCAAGGAATTACACTTGAGAGAAGAAACCAAGCACCCAACGGACAAGAATTTCATCAAATTTTTTGGGATCTGAAATATAAAAACACGCACAAGGGAAGTTCCGATAAACGGAAAATTATTTATCTAGAGAAAGTGGAAACAGAAAATCCGATTAAACGGAAAATTTATTACAAACAGAGATCCGATATAATATAAACAGCTTGACACTGGCGTCAGATTTACGCCGGTCATCGGCCAAAAAAAAACTCAAATCTGTCTAAAGTAGCTTAGAAGACTTGAGAAGATTTAAAGAGAGAAAAAAATTTTAAAAGATGTACGCCAAAAACTTCACCCTTTAAAATTTCTATATATATTAAGAATATTAGGAAATGTACATATTGACCAAAAAAAGAAAATTTAGATATAAGTTAGTTTTTTTTAATATTAGATATATTAATCAATGCAAATTAATATACAGATAACATCATTTTATCAAATTGATGTTAAAGACAAAAAAAATTACATCAATTCTACTAATTGAAGCTATTTCACATAATTATGGTAATGTTATTAGTTAAATTTTTATTAAAATTAGTTTTTATTGATGTAAATATTGTATCATTTCTATAAGTGATATTAACAACAATTATGTAGTCGATGTAACTATATATTTTTGTGTCAATGTTTTAAAAGTGATATAAAACAATAAAAATTGTATCAAGTTCATTGAATTGTTGCCAAACTAGTTAATTATAACACCAATTATACTATTTGATGCTAAGTTATATATATATTTGTTTCACTTATAAATAAGTAATTTAAAATAGTATCACTTAGTTTTGTAATACAATTTAAGTGATATAATACAACATTTTTTATAGTGACACTTTCTTACTCTATAGGCGGGATGGGTCAACAATTTAAGATAAAGAACATAGAGAAAGTTCACAAAGTTAATATCATAGATCTCAATATCGAATATGGAGTATCTCATTATCAAAGATATCAACTTCAAGGAGAAAATGTTCAAGGAGAAGAATCTCAAGAAAAAAAATCTCAAGATAAATATCAAAGATCACCAAATGATCAACAAAATTTTACTCCATACTTTAATTATCCTAGGGAAAATAATTTTTCTAGATATTAGATTATTGTTTAAATTTATAATATGTCTTTAAAAATTATCTTATTACATTTAGTTTTTATGTTTATTTAGTTTTAACTTTTCAATTTTATGTGTTTAATGCTTTAACTGAATTTTAATATGTATTTTTAATTTTAATCAATTTCTATTTTAATATAAATATTTTGTGATATATTAACTAGTATAATATTTTATATTATTTAAAATAGAAAATACAAAATTATTAATGATATATTATTTTTTAGTCCTTAATTTGTGAGTATACCTCAAAAGATGGTGACACATCCGCACCCATTTTTCTAACACATGAGCTTTGATAAATAATTTTTACATATTCAAATCATATAATATATAAAATTTGATGGCATAGTGCATTGAGAGCGTCCACATG